CGTTCACAAATGTCATACGCTACGCCCAGAACGTCGTAAGTGCCAAGTATGCCAACGGTTGGCTGGACCATAAAAAGCGTAACATAATACAAACTACCAAGATCCCCTATTTTACTAGGTATTAAAATATTTCCCGCAATTTGCTTACACTAAACCGTTTGCAAACCCTTTAAACTGACCAGTTTATGAGAGACAAGGCGACAGACTGACAAACAAGACTACACACACATTTTCACCTGTTTCGAATATGGAACATGAGTTTATTGGAGCGGATGTGACGTATTTACTGGCAACTTAAACCTCTGTGTTGCTATTTAATTAAAATATTTCGAACACATTTTTTACGTTAATTTATGATTTGAATTGAAGCTATAAATTAAATTTGGATAAAAGATTTTAGAAGATTAGAAATGTTTAGCTTTTTGATGTTTTCTTTCATTGATTCCGTACATTGTTCAAAGCAATTTTTATTTTTATTTAGCAAATTTATCATTACTAGAGATGCACTGTAACATAAAATCATGATTCAAATTAAGTAATCATGCGTATTCGTTTTTTCCAACGGTCCAAGTTTAGTACAAGCTTGAAAAAAAATTTTTCTTTTTTGTATGTCCTAACTCCGGTTCAAGTCCAGATCACTGATTAATCCACATGCAAATCCATCTAGAGTGCCTAACCATTTGTTTTTCTCCCATTAACACTAATCAACTACTTGTCCAATCATTGAAATGTAATCAACCACTCATTAAGCCGATAATTCTTTTCAACATGTCAGCCTGGCCGATAGCCTAGTTGCCGGTGATTTAATCGGGCGCCAGAAATTCTGGATCGTTGATCATCCGAAGAATTGATGTCAGGTACGCCAATTATGCTTCTCGTAATACTTGGCTGGTGGAAGCTATGCTCAACTTTGACATTATGGTGGATAGGTGATAATAAAAGGAGGTTTCCAATGAAAGGGTGATATGGAAAGGATTTTTAGGGGAGTTATTCTGAGATAGGTGGGCAAAAATTTCATCAAATTGGTGATATGCTAAAAAATGGCTCGAAAAGAGACTGCAGCGAAAACATTCGATATCCAATCGTTAGTTTTTGCTTAAAATGGTCCGATTTTTAAGTGAACCTCATGCTACCGCATATTTTATGGGATTTGGATTTTTGCATGCTTTATTGTCAAAACAATTTTAGTTTCCATATCAAGAATTAAGCTAGCAAATAGCGTCCATGCAAACCCCAGCCGATAGATTTATCAAAACTTTTTTATACATAACTAGTACCTCGAAAAGGCCGGTAGCAAAGATAAGGACAGTAAAACAGGAAGGATATGATACATATCGATCTTATTGGTGATATCTTTAAATAGCCAGGTGTGGAGTACTTACAACTGACACGTGTAGTTTACTAATAGGTGTATGAACGTGAAGGAAGCCATAGAAGTATATAATTCATATTTTCGTGCCCTATTTATGTTGTTTGAAGAAATGACGTGATTTTACTGGGCTGGTCATTGCACTATTTCATTCATTGAATGGGTACTAATGTGACTGTCTAGCGTGAGGTTCTGTGGTTTGACTTTGGAGCCAGGTAAAGTGTAATGTCGTGGTAGCCCGGAAGTTTAAGACACTCGCTTCTCATGCATGAGAGTCCGAAACCTACCAACGGCCAGTACCAATGTGACTCTTTCAGAGTTATACGTACGTTCTAAGAATATTCCGACACCACTTACAAACGGTGAAGGAAAATATTGTGAGGAAACCTGAGCTTATTAATTTCTAATTATAAGTTTGAAATCGCCAACCCGTATTCAGCATGGTGATTAATGGTCAAACCTTATGTGTGAGAAGAGGCTTTGCTCAGCAGTAGGCATTTATAGGCTTGAGGTGTTCAAGATGTTTTTAAAATTCCAACTTAAACTTAACCAAATTAGCTATTCGAAATTGAGTTAGTTGATTGGCTATTGGATACGCCCGTCTTCAATTGCACTGGACTTATACGACTAGTGCACAGTGGATGTTTCATAGTACACCATTGCTTAAACTTCTTTCCAAAAAAGTTTCATTAAATATGATGATAATTAGCAGTTTGACAATTTAATTAGTGCCAGTACTAATCTGTACGATGAATTTGTGTAATAAATAATTCAATTCTGATTAACTACTGCAATAAAAACCTATGGTGTTACAGGTTTGCATTAGTTACGGTGTAAGGTTGCTCTCAAACTACGGTCTTTTTCTTTTCTCTGCGGAATTCTAAACAGTCAGTCAGTCAGTCAAACATTTTAATTCAAAACCTAATTTATCGGTGCATTAATTTGATTACTCAAATTTAGTACTATTTTAGTATTGTTGTGTTAATATTATTCATAGACCAGATAATATCAAGAACACCGTTATGCACCATTTAATTGATTTAAACATAGTTTTTCGATAATAAATTATTTTACAGTAATTTATTAGTTTATTAAAAAACTGCTTTTTGGTATTAAAACGTTATTAACAGTTGGTTTCGTTGTTAGGATTATGTACGGGTTCCAATTTTAGTAGCATTATTTAAAACCAGTTAGTTGTTTGGTAGCTTTTCTGCTAATATTTTAGAATTTGATTTTATGGCGTGATTTCGTTTATTAGGCGTAAGATTAGTATGTTCGTTTAAACTCCAAATGTATTTTCCTTCTGTTTACTGCATTTTTGTTGTCATTTTTAGTAATGTAAGAGATTCTTGCGGATAAAAGTAAGTAACCCAAACCCGGCTACCTGCATGCAAAATTTTATCTAATTACATTCAGTATTTTAACATACTACTGTCAGTTTTGAATGAAACTCCACAAATTCTCAGAGTTCAAAAATCTTATTAGGACCTGGCTCATTATATCCAACACTAAACTCGGGCTAAGCCCCAAAATAGGCAGTAAACTAAAAAACACTATAACAATTCAACATTTTTTATTGTAACTCATTTCATTATGGTCTTTTTACTGGTTCCGAGGCAGGGTCGTGGCCAGTTGATCAGATTAGGAGCTCTAACCGGTTTATCGAAAACATCCCGAAGAAAAAAATAACGAAAAAAACAACACTAATAACAACAAATAACGAGGTACGGCTAGTGATGGACGGGTGTCGATATGCACGTGAGAAAAGTTATCGATAAAACCGAGTCTGACGAGAGATTATGCTCGTATGATTGATGGTAATGTGCCGTTATCGTCAGCGATGAAAGACAAGATATAGTACTTCAAGTAGTTGAGACATCTTTATGTTTATATGTTACAATGAATGTTAACAAGTTTTAAATTGAAGTGTACTCATTGAAGTACGTGTATTAATCTTTGTAGACAACTTTAAAGACACATGTCGTCGTTAAATTGTTAGCAAACCGTTATGATATTACGGACACTACAAAGCGTAGGTTTTGCCAATTATATTTTGATAGATTTATAACATCAATTTGTTACAAATCTTTTTATCAGATCATAATATCAATCGATCATGTTACAATTATCGACAAACCGCATCCCTACGAAGGTGGGGCAAGATGAAATTATACGAAAATATTGTAACGATAGTGACAGATGATTATAAGCTGGCGATAAAACATACATAATTCTGAGTTAATGGCCCGGAGCAGTGCGGCATTAAATCCACGTAATACTGGCCTTAAAGTTGGTACGAAATCAATTTCACATCACTAGACCGGACGATTTATGGATAAGATCGATTATCGTGTACATGAAAGGGTTTTGGGTGTAATATGTGGTTTATTTATGGAGTATGGTGGTAAAGGAAAAAGTAAAGGAAGTGTTTAATGAGATCATGTAAAGTTAAGGATATTTTTAAGAAGCGCTATTCTTAGCAGTTTAGTGAGTTTTTAGGGTTATTTCTTGTGGTAATGGTCCACTTTAGGCGATATGTTGAAGATGTTGAATACAAGGATTCAGGTTCTCACGAGTATTCAGTTTCAAAATTATTTGTAACTACATTTTTAAAGCTTGAACGTACTAAGGTGTTAGCAAAGACTTACGCAGGATCTCTGGGTAATTCTAATTTCATATCATAGTAGAAATGAATGCTATTTCCTTGATAAATATAAAAGCATACCTATCCGAGTTTCTAGAGCTTCTATCATAGTGTTAGACAAAAACAAGTTCTTATATATTAATATATAAAAACCTTCTGTTTCAAGCTCGCTAGCTTTTAATTCACATCGTAAATCAAAACGGTAAGATAGTAATTCCATATAACTAATGATATTGAGATTTATTGGTCCAAACTATACAGTGATATGTATGAGTTATAATTATATTTATATATTATGTGTAAGTTTAACTGTTGAGTCTGTTTCATTATTAGATTTATATCAATAGGAGAATATTTGTCAGTTTTTATTGTTATATCCCGGATTAAGACAAGTTGTTCTTTATTTCGTTTTGTAAGTTGTCTTTTGTAGCGAAATCGGTCTTGGAAATAGCCATTATAACTGGACTTTAAAAGAGACGGATCTCTGAGTTTCTTTCGGCATTTCTGACAGAGTAGTCAGTTAGGAAATGTCGACCTGAACGTTCACTTGATAAAATTGACAAGTAAAGGTGCTGCTTTATCCTATTTGCAGAAATAAATTCATTTGTTTCATTATAAGTGATATAGTATGGATTTTTATAAGGCCAACCTTTGAGGGGCTGCGGATTACCTAACGCGGGATACCGGGGCTTCAAAGCAGGAGTAGGAACGGGGTGGTTTTTGGTCAGTGAGAGTCTGACACTTTCTCTCGCCGCCTTGAGTGTAGGCGCTCATTGGGTGATTTTTCCTCCTCAAAAAAAGTACCCTTTCTAAGTTTTGTAGAGAAATCAGTGTTATAAATAGCCATTTCTTGTGTAGTATGGGTTTGGGTTTTTTAAGGTTAACCTTTAAGATTAGAGAACCTATAAATAGGTACTTTATATTATCTATTTTAAGGTAGTATATGGTACACTAGGTATTAAATAGGTACAAAGAGTAGATACTCACCAAACACAGGACTGAGGTCCGACTTTACCGATAGTTTACCGGGATAAGGCTCGCCGGACTTCTCCTGAAACAAAAACAAAAAAATAACATTAATAACTATATAAATACCTCTAATAAAATATACTAACTATATGGCGACATTGACATCTTTTTTTGTACTAGTATCCTTAGCTAGTTTAGTCTAACGGTAATCCACAATAATAAGTGCTCAAGAAACAATACAACTCGAAACAAAAAGAAATATCTACCCCTACAAAACAGATCCCTAATAACAAAAACTTAGTTATAAGTTAAGATAATCAACTAACTAATATAAAAAGAGATCCAATCATGTGATTTGATCGGATTTCCCATAAAACAGAAGATGTTTCCGCTTTTATTTTATTAGTTGGAGTGTTATGGTGTGGGATCCCATCGTTGGGAACCAGTAGACCGGTTAAAATCATTACGCCTTGGGTTATTGAAGTAGTATTATAGTAGCAAGGATATGGGAATGTGTCGTGTATTAAATATTTTGATGTAAGACTGACAAATGTGTTTGGTTTGTTGCCTTCTGTAAGTGTGAATTGCAATTTTAATAAGATTTTGAAATTGAAAAAAAATGTCGTGAAGGGTTTTAAAATGACCGTGAGACAATTATCAATATAAGGAGAGACAAACGAGCAGGATTTGATTAAAATACAGAGTGTTATTTATTATGCAAAAAAGATAAACGACAAATCTATCAATAATCGACGTAAGAGCGATGAAAAGCCTTAAGTTTGATTAAAATTAGCTGTTGCTCGCAACTTCGTCCGCGTAGAATTTTTTTTAGGACATAACATTTTAGTTTCTATTTTCCAAAATAAAAGTAGACGTATGTTACTCCTTAGTACATCAGCTAGCTGCCAATGAAACTCCCGTCAAAATAGGTCCAGCTATTCCAGAGATTAGCCAGTGCAAACAGAAAGACAGACAAAAATTGTAAAAAATATATATATTACAATAGACAATCCAATTTTATTTATCTGTATAGATAAAACTACATCCCTAGTAATCCCTACAGACATATTACTTAGGTTTTTAAACTTATCTAAGGACCAGATAAGTTTCAAAAGTTCATCTAGAGTCAAAAGTAACCGTCGTCGACTAATACCACTAGTTAAACACAAGTAACTAAACTCCCAAAAAGTATCGCCTGACCACCATAATAGTGACCTCTCAATAAGTACCTCCGTTAACATGGGGTCGTAATTGGATAAGTCAGAATCAGTTTACCCCACTCGTACGTGTTTACCCCAAATCAAGGGTAATACATTTCCCCAATTTTCGGGTAATTTTTACGTGAGATTACACATGTTTGTGTTAAACTATTTGTCTATTTGTCTGTATGGCAGTTTGTTTATTGTTGAAGAGGTTTGGGGTGGAGTTTCATTCATTTGTTCTTTTGATAGAAGGATCAATGAGAGTAATTTGTTGATGGTTTTCGTTTTTGGAGGGAATAATGTTTAGAATATTTTAAATTAAGATTATTTATAAAAGTATGAATGAAAGTATTTTGCTGCAACCCTTTTAGGACTAGTTAAGTTAAGATTTCGTTAAAAATAAAGTTTTAAATATGGTCATGACTTATGTCATGAATAAGTAATTGGTAAAAGAAGAAGCGAGGATTTTTTTCAATAAGTCTTTATTCCAAGTTCAAAACTGTTATCTACACGACAAGTCAAGTCACTATTTACAAAAAAAAAAATACACCATAAAACAAGACAGACCTAAGAAAACATAATAAAAACATGTATTTTAGGCAATAAATGGCACTCGACATTATTGGCATTAAAGTGGAATGCCTCAGTTAACATATTTCACATAACATTTTACCCCGGGCTTTTGTTCAGGCATTTTAATAAAATAAAAACTATTTCATATTTTTGTATCATGCTGTATATTTGGGTTGGTTTTTATTTTTTTACGTTTGTTCTTATTATTATTATTTATTACTTTTGATATGTAGGTTAAAGTGTTAAAACTAAAGGAATATTTAATATTAACAGGATTGTTTTTTTTCAAAGAAGTAATAGTTTAGTGTGTAAAGTGTACAATTTTCGAATTCGATTGATTGGAAAACATGGGTCTTCTTGACGCCCCGAAGAATACTATTCTTTAATCGATTCAAGAAGATTGGTAAGAAAGTTGTATTAGATAATGTTTTAGTACAATAGATGATATAGGTTCAAGTCAAGACCTTCATTTACAATGATACTTGTACCGAAACTTAGTATAAACATACAAACTTATATTATAATTTTTTTCAGAATTAATTGGATACTATGTCCACAAGCATTCAATGAATTAACTCGTTGAGTACCGTCATTATAGACACAATTAAAGGACAATAGGTTGCGGTCACCAGTGACCGCGCGGTGTATGACAGTTTAAATAACAAACATAATATAATATATAAAACAATACAAATATGGACAGCAGAAAGTGTGAAGATGAAACTGACATGGGATGAAACTTACTAGTCTTAAAATAACGATTGATTTACAATAATAACCCTTATTATCTGGATATAAGGTCAGTGTTACGTTGACATGGTCGTGTGGTGCATAAGAGTTAAGGATGTCAAGTCAAGAAAATGTCGGTAAATAATAATTATGTACTTTATTATTATTGGTTAATTTTATGGTACTGAGGTTTAGGGTTGAACGTCTTGAAAAAATTTCAACTTTTAGGTAAATCTTTGGTTATTCCGATAAGTAGAAACTGTACAGTACAATAAAAAAAATAATACTCGTTGGTTTACAAGAACAGTATAAACGTAGCTGTTTATTGATAATGGATGGAAATCCCCAGAGATCCATCCTTAAATACACCAATGATCATAAATCTCTTTGGTATTTTGTAAGAGTCTAGGCACTCCACGTTCTAAATTAGGTGATTTAAAAGAAATCTAATAACGTAACTGTCTCAGCAAATTGTACTAGGAATTTCATTCAACAAAAACACAAATAACTGAAAGAACAACAGACAATAAACTAAATAAAACCATAATATATAAATAAACAGAATTACGGTAACACGATGTTTGACAACCATATTTTTAAACGCGCGCCCGTCTCGCCCGGGGCTACCAATTACAGCTGACCCTACAAAGAATTTCCCTTACATCAATCACTAGCTTTACGCCTGTGGTTTCACTCGCGACGCATTTTAAATTATCTCAAGTAGGCTTCGTTATTTTTATATTAGGACAAAATATAGTCTAAGTTGTTCAAAGAAAACTTACCTTTGAGATGTTCAGGTATTTTTTTAGTCAAACCACTAGTTTTGCTGAAAACAGACGAACAATGATGTGATTTCTCTTGATAATATTTACTAATGTAACTAAGGCTTTGCTAGCTTGAAAGTGATTCCTACTTCTAACTGTATGTATGCAAAATTTCAAAAAGATTATAAACAGATAAAGCGTATAGAGGTAACAAACAGACAAACTTACTTTCGTATTTATAATATTAGTTAATTTTATTATATTACTTAGGCGTGTCAGCCCTGACTCCTCAGTCCAGTTTGTACTTTTTGTCCAACCAAAAAGTGTTGATTAAATTCTTGTTACAAACTCGTTTTTGGACACGTCAAATGAGTGTCAAAATAAGTTTTAATTATCTATTGTAAAACATTGTTTGTCGTGTGTTTGTTTGACATTTTGTTTTGTCATTTGATTAGTGATTAACGATAAGTTTTGTTTAAGTTAGACTTTAGTTAGTATTGTTAAAATACAGGCTATGGTGATTATCGCTTTTAGATTACAGTATAATAGAATAAGTTGAATAGCAACAGCATTAATATAGAATTTAATACACTTTGCGCTCACGCACGAATAAAATACAAAGGTAACATTTTACAACAATTAATCTGACATGAAAGTCACTAGAACATCGCCATTTGCAGTTGAAACAAAAGAATAATAAAAATAAACGCTCCATTGAAACTATTCTACAATAATATTACATTGTAAAAGGAAAAGATAAAAAAAGAAAGATGGATTCACGTTCGCCTGACATTCGATCGCAGCGACATCTAGATATAATGATAAAAGCAATTAAGCCCCTTTAAGGAACATAATTGATGGTCACCGTGCAACCAGTCCAGGGTAGTATCGGAAAAAATAGTTCAATAGCAACTACCCTTCATTAATTACATTTGACATACAACTGATACGTGTAACATTTACTTTTAAATGTAAAGTTGATTAATTAAAGAGAAACGCCCATATTGGTATAACGGAATTAATTTCGCGCTCAAATATGTCGAAGACAAATCGGTTTTGGGAATGTTGTACCGACTCCGTCGATAGATGGCGTTAAAAAAAGACGCACGCGCATTGGTAACTTGTTAACATCATTTTTCTGATTTTTTTTAAATTTAACATTGCACACAAAATTGTAATAAGTTTCATAATGTTAATGAAAATGTTCGACAATAATTTAAACAGTTAAAAAAGGTTGCATGATGTAAAAAGTCTACATGCAAGCCCCTTTAACTGTAGACATGTTTTTTCATCGATGCCGTGTCTTCATGTTAGATAATATGCAATTAAGGGCCTAAACAGTCACTTTTAATTACGACTATCAAATGACATTTTGTATAAATAGTTTAGCAAAAAAATAAGCACCTTTGGAACATATGCAGAGCGTACTACGATACAAGTATTTAGTCTCGTTTCGATTTTGTCGTCAGCTAATAAATGAATTTATACATGGTGTTTAATATTCTATGGGGTGTGTAAGTATGTGTGTACTATGTTTTATGGGGTCACCCTAGTCGTTAGTTTGTGTAAGTAGTCAAGTTAGTAATAGTGCTGAAGTAAAATACAATGATAGTCAATTATTTTTATTTTATGTAGTTGCCATGCACATTACTGCTAATACATTTGAATTCCTAGTCCAATCTAGTCATATTAAAATAATAAGTCTGTAGACCATGGACAAGACTTCATTTTTAATTTTTTAGCTTTTATTTTTTAATTATGTTATATATATTCTACGCAAAGTGGTTTTTCTTTCTTTTTTTTTGTTTCTTTCA